GGCGGTGCATTGTATTCAATAGCACTGCTTCCACCCGCCCCCGCCCGCAGGGCGATCTGACGCGTGGCAAAACTTTCCCAGCATTCCGTTCCACTGCAAACGCAGAAAATAGCTTCTCCTGTCCCTGAAGCCTGTCTCTTCCTCCACAGCAGTAGCAATGGTATATCCCTCGGCGTCCTCACGTCCTATACAGCGTATATAGAATGTAATGACTCAGGGACCTTAGACTGCTCCAGCGGAGAGGGAGTGAGGCTCCAGCAACCGGTCTAGGAACAAGCCGGCTCCCAGGATCAGGTGAGTATAACTTTTTATAACTTTTTTTTTTTTTGCACCTAGACAACAATGAACACTTAACCTTTGCAGTGCGGGGGGGTAGCCCCACTGGAAGGGTTAAGAAACAATTTGCGCAGATTTTTTCTTTGAAGTCTTGTTCCCACCATCTCCAGACGTGTTTCTGCAAATGCGTGTTTGTGCATTTTTGATGCGTTCCAGTGACCTTTTTATGTTCTCATTTGGATTGCTTGGGTTTTAAGCGGGTTCCAGTGCATTCTGGTTTACATACGTTTTCCAGAGCAAAAAAAATGCAGCATGCTGGACTTTTTTGTTTCAAACTCTGGAACTGAACACAATGGTGTGAACTAACCTAATTTTTCCCATTGGAGTGAATGTGTATGCATTTTTGGTCCAGATAAAAAAAATGTCTCTGGCCTGGATATGATGTGAACAAGCCCTATAAGCTGTCTGTATTAGTGATGGGCTCGTGCGTGTTCGCAGCTCCACGTGCCGAGCCCGCCAGGAAGCTCACAGCGCCAATCACAGGCACGGAGGCATTTCCCGATCTCTGCAGCTGCGGACCGGGATAATGTCTCAGTACCTGTGATTGGTGCTGCGGCACTGTCAGCTTCCTGGCAAGCTCGACGCGTGGAGCTGCGAACACGCCCGAGCCCATCACTAGTCTGTATTCCCACAATAGAGAATCACATTCTCCATTTGTCCCGGTGACTATTATCACACAGTTTGTGTTCAGGGGCCACTTATCTGTCCCTAGCCGCATGTGACCACTCGATGTGCAGTTACAGGTGGACAGCAGCAACTTGTGTCAGTTGTCTGTCATTGCCTTGTATAGGCTTCCTTATGGCCCCTGGGTGCAAATTGTCTGCATACGGAGCTGCTCATCTGTCCCTGGCCACATGCTTGGCATGCAATTACATACGCATTCGGATCTCCCTTGTCATTGCTCTGTACAGGCTTCCTGGCCAATCACAAACACCTGTGATACCTGCAGCTGTACGGCCCCCTTTACTTCCTGTCACAGCTCCAGAACAGGAAGTAAAAGGGAAATCTCGAAGTGGGACATAGCTAACAACAAAAAAATAACTTGATAGGTGTTTTATCCCTTTTCTACTCCATCTAAAATGAAACAAAATATTTTGACTTCACTTACACTTTACATTGCTACTTTGTTTAGTGTTTATACTGTACACTTCTGTTGTACATACATAGTAACCAGGTCAATGTAAAAGTTGAGTGTGAATCCTGCTTTGTGTGATTACACATGGATGTAAATAAAAACCCTCAGCAGCCATCTACTGACAGACGAGCAGTGCTGAGTCTTCTAGTCCCAGAACACTTGCTGAGCCTGAGCAGAGACGCCTTCGAGAATAGCACACTTACGAACTTTGCGTACGTAAACTGAGCCGAACGCCGCAACTGCACAGCCTAGCAACAAGGCAATTTACGTAGACCCAGCGGCGGCGCTTAGGCCGCGGCCTGGCCGGAGAAGAGAAGGAGCGGCGGCGGAGGAGGGGGGAGAACTCACATGTCTGCGCCCTGCTGCAGGAAGCCGGTGTTGAGGCTGCGCCTGGCTATCGTCCTCCACACCGAGTCCCGGCTGGTGAAGTGCCGGAGCTTTCTGCACGCCTGCCCGAGCCGGCCCAGTGACTGGCGGTCCACGTAGGAGAGGATGAGCAGGAGGATCTCCTCGGGCAGGAGAAGAAGGACGGGTCCCATTTTTGGGTGTGGAGGTGCTGTGGGCTCTGTACTGGCTTCTCTCCCATGGTTGGTGGCCGGGTCACTAGTAGCTGGGGCTGGGAGCCATGGCAGGGCCCGAGTGAGTCACGTGACGGAGGAGAGCTCCTGCTGCTGCACTGTGCACAGTAGAGGCCTGGCAGACGGATGGGGCCTGATTTCCAGCACTGCAAACACACAGCACTCAACCCTTTACCTTCAGAATTCACTAGCAGGCTCTCCACAAGCTTCAGGAGGTGCTGAACCTTGCAGGTGCTTATTAAAGAGGAACTCCAGGAATTAAAAAACGTACATTTGCAGTGTAGCTACCCCTGCACTGTAAGGGTTAAAGAAGAACTCCGGGCACATGCAATGTTCACCCTTGCAATGCGACTGCCCCTCCAATGTAAATATTAAGTGCTCATTTTGCCTAGGGAGCTAAAATAATAGAGATATACTCACCCAAACCCTGATCCCGCCTGGCTCCTAGACCTGTCCCTTCATCCTCACTCCCCCTCCACTCTGGTGGTTTAAAGTCCGGTAAGTCATCTCGTCCAATACAGACTTGCATGAGATGTGAGGACACCCAGGGACATTCAACAGCTGGAGGGGAAGAGAGGTGAGTGCCGCCAGCTGCGAGACCAAGAACCTTTGTAATGTACGGGTAGCCCCACTGCAAGGGTAAGTTTTTTGTTTTTGTTACATACCCAGAGTACTTTCAACCTGAGCTCCGGCCACAAAAACCTTCATTTAAATATATCTCTTAATAACCACAGAGGATATAAATCCACTTTGTGTGAATCAAATGACTTTGCAAACCCCCATATTAAAGTAAACAGTGACATCAGCATGTGCTAAGCAGAGCTGTGGGAGGGTCTCAGCAGGCCCACCCACTACAGGAAGGGGCGGGTACAAGACCAATCACCCTGCACAAGGAAAGAGTAGCAGTGACTGGTCTTTATTACAGGAAGCTCCTACATGGAGGCAGCTACACTTTTTTTTTTACACCCGGTTACTGCACTGATCTGGGAGAAGCACACCAACATTCCACTAAGAATACACATGACTCTTGCATTTGGTTAGTATTCAGCTTGAAACTGTATGTAAACCCTCATTCACACTGAAAAGAACCGGCCCGTACAGATCTGTGCGGCGTGCACGGCCGTATCGGCCGCTCCCTGGAAAGACAGGTGCTGCGTTTGATTGTACAGCGCAGCCTGTTCTCTATGGGAGTACACGGCCGTACGCTCAACCGAACTGCACATCCGTGTGGGTGTCGGTACTCGTACCCGCTAGCATGGAGCCAGCTTCCCGGGCAATGAAGAAGCCGGATGGGAATGACATGCCGCCTGGCTTCTTGATTGCCCGGGAAGCTGGTTCCATACTGTTTGGCTGGCTCAATGCTGATTGGACAGGAAACCAGCTTCCCGGCTAATCAGCATGGAGCCAGCTTCCCGGGCCAATCAGGAAGTCAGGCGGCGAGTTATTTCCCTGCCGCCTGGTTTCCTGATTGGCCTGGAAGCCGACTCCATGTTCCCTCGTGGCACTGACCGGATGTTCCGGTATCCGGGGTAAGTATCGGAGCACTTGGGTGAGTACTTGCTCAAATACTCGGTATCAGCACTGATACTAGTATTGGTGCATCCCTACTTATCAGTTACCATTGTTCCCAGCTATCTTTGAGGACTACTGATCACATCTTCCTGTGTTATGCAGAGGGGAAGATGTTCTGTAGTGTTGCCCTAGGGTGACAACGCTGTGCCTCCATAGATACAAGTGTTGTCATCCTTGGACAGGAAGTGTGTTACAGGCAGGATCACCAGGGGAAAATAAATGAAATAAAAAGCCCACCAAGATTCAGGTAAGAATACACATGTCACTTCATTTCAGACATTATGCTCTTTGCTTATCCTGGAGTTCAGCTTTAACAAATAAGTGCATTTAAAAGTCACAGCCCCCTCATAGAAAAAATAAAAGGCTAACAAACATCTATGTAGCCGTTCCGTGGCACACTATTTGAAGTCCCAGCCTCCTATATGTGGAAAGGTGATTTCCTGCCCTGAGGACCGGTCTCTACATCACACTCGTTATCTTTTCTCACCCTTACTGCCCCTGTAAACCAGCTAAGCGGTCGTTACACCCTTACTGCCCCTGTGTTGTTCCCCATGTGGCGCACTAGCCTTATGTCCTTGCCATCTATATGTGGAAAGGTGATTTCCTGCCCTGAGGACTGGTCTCTACATCACACTCGTTATCTTTTCTCACCCTTACTGCCCCTGTGTTGTTCCCCATGTGGCGCACTAGCCTTATGTCCTTGCCATCTATATGTGGAAAGGTGATTTCCTGCCCTGAGGACTGGTCTCTACATCACACTCGTTATCTTTTCTCACCCTTACTGCCCCTGTGTTGTTCCCCATGTGGCGCACTAGCCTTATGTCCTTGCCATCTATATGTGGAAAGGTGATTTCCTGCCCTGAGGACTGGTCTCTACATCACACTCGTTATCTTTTCTCACCCTTACTGCCCCTGTGTGTCCCAATGTCTGAGGAGCCTGACGTTCCCGCTGAGGGGTAATGGAGACAGGGACTATGGATCGTTGGTCACAATAAGAGACTATACAGGTTCAGTATTTACACTGGTCTTTGGAGGAGATTCAATGTCCTGATACGTACTAACTCATGTCCCCCCGACCGGCCATTATCAGGACCCTAAGCAGGGAGTTCCCACCTCCCCTTCTTGGTGTCTCTTAGCCCATGTGTGATAGCAATTAAGTGAAAAAAAATAGTTAGGAAAAGTAAAAAATAATAAAATAAAGTAAAAAAAATAACAACTGATCAAAAATGTAACTAAATAAAAAGACAATAAAGTAAAAATAAATGAAAATTAAAAATGTTTACAAAGTAAATAAAAATTGAAAAATATGGAAACCAGCCCCGCTGTCCCCATCATCTGCATTAGAATAAACGCACAGTGTTTTCAACCGCGATCGTGTGCAACCGCACAGGCAGGGCGGTATTGCGGCGGGAAACCGCACAATCTGCCTGGCACGACTGGGGTGCCATTAGAAAATAATGGCACCCCAGTCGCGTCAGGCAGATTGCGCGGTTTCCCGCCGCAATACTGCCTGGGCGATCCCACACGATCGCGGTGGGAAACATGAATGGGTTAAATGTTTTATTGTTCTAAAACCGTCTTAAATTAAAGTTCTATATAATCATAAACAAATTGGCCTAAAATCATTAGTCTATTGTTTTTTTTTAAATGTCACCTGTCCCTTTAAGAAAAAGGTAATTAGTATCGGCAAGTACATGAGGAGAAGTACTTGGTCTTAAAAAAGGGGTATCGGGACATCCCTAATATAGCATATCTGCGACATTAAAGAACTCTTGTGTGTGTCAATGTGAAAGGCCCAGGAGGTATTCTATGTATTATGAAGACAACCATACTTCATATGGGGAAGATACATTTTGCATGTAATGTTTTATACAAGATATCAAATAAATGTATATTTTTTTACATAAAGGTTTTGATCTTTTGTGGTTTGGCACCGAAAAAGCACCAAATAAAACAAATATTTGTTTATTGCTATTTCATGAGAGTGCAGTGCCACCTCACTAGGTGAGGTGGGCGCCTGCCATGTTACAGCTCCACCTCTCATTTGACACCAATGCCGCGGTCCTCCAGTTCAGAAGACGCGTGCAGGAATCATGGGATTTGTAGTCCTGGACATCTGGAAGACATGAAGTGCTGCAGCTGAAAAGCCCTTCTACAGATGTGCATAGATAGCTATTGAACCAGCGACGCAGTGGGAAGGTCAAAGGTACAAATATACTAGAATTATAGTTTGTGATGTTCTGAAAGTGGAATTTTAGTATTATGTGGATTTCATGAGGTTGATGAGTTCCAACTGAGATAGGAATGGTGACTGACCAGAATTGGGCTTTAAGAAATGATAAAAGAAGAAAATGCAAAGAAAGCCTAGAGTGCTCAAGCTCTTTTTCTGTATCCCCTGTTGTCAATGAACAATAATCCTCTATACTGAGTGTTCCTGTTCATTCATAACTTGTGGACATGGTATGTTTACTATATCCACAATCATGAATGAACAGGAGGTGATTTAGCTCACTTCCCATTCATTCATAATTGAGGATATAGTCAACATGCTACAGTATGTCCTCAATTATCTACAAACACTCAATGAACACTGATCGTTGAGCGTTTGTACCCGCTCTCCTCTCTGATATGCTGACACAGGAGGGGAGCAGGGAGGAGAGCTCAGCCTCCTGTGACAGCGCTGTCCCCGCCCCCACACCGCTCTGCCGGACTGTGATTGGCGGCTGAGCGGTGTCGGAGGAGAGACGCCGGCCGCTCACAGCGCTCTCCTCCCGCAGCGCTCAGCCGGCTGTCACTTTCTCTCCTCCCCGCTGGAACACAGAGCAGCGCCCAGCGGGGAGGAAAGAAACCTGGGATGTGTCGGCAGGAAAATGGCACTTTCGGCATTCAGCCAAAAGTCCAATTTTTGGCCAATATATCGGTGCATCCCTGATACATGCTGTTGGCTGTTATTATCCCCATCCTGCAAAGCCTTTCGATGCAATACTGATGGTAATTTTTACTGCATAGTGCATATGCATTCCAACACACACTCGCAGCGCCCTGCCCTACTGAGATGTGCAGAACGCATATACCGAGATCACATCCGCATAGATCTCCAGCATAGGCTCTCGAGACATTTACTAGGCTTGCCTCTTTTCAGTCTATACATGCAAAGGAATTTGCTGCTCACGTCAATAGAGGGCAGAATCAGAGATAGGAAAATAATTAAGGAGACAACCACAAGGTGACCCTGTATTCTGCGACTACTTTTGTAGCCTTATACAGCCAGGCAATCTTCTTTACTGCTTCTTGGCTGAATTTCGCATGGTGTTCAACCACTGATTCATTCTATTGTTCCAGGTAGAATCTAATGATTGGAGTGTAGCCACCGCTCCAAGCTCACTCCCATGATGGACTACAATCTCATGTTTAGTTTACTATTTCGTATTGAGATTGTAGTCCATCACAGGAGCGAGCTTGGAGCTGTGACTACTTTACAACACACACAGGGACCATGGGGAACAAAAGTAGCCCCTCTCCAGAAGGAAGGACAGTGTCAGCACCAATTCAGAGATGATTTGAGGATCTACAGCCGAGTGATACACAAATAAGATACATTTTTGTTACTAGTTAAGGTACTTGAATGTTTTTT